TTAATTTAGTTCATCTTTCAATGATAAACGCCTTTACGGTAATTTTCAAGTTTTGTTTTGTTTTGTTTGGTTTTTTTTTTTTTTGGGGGGGGGGAGTATTTATTGCTTTAAAAATATAATATATCTTCATACCATTTGATTCGCTTGATGTCCAAAAGATCCACGAGAAAACGCTGCGTTAGAGCTAATTAAAACGATGGTTTCAGGTGCGCCACGGTGAAAAACGAATAAGAAGGAAATCTGGCCTGATAGACAGAGCGAGTTGTTCAAATGCGATCAAGAAATGAATGTAAAACTTAAGCCGAAGCATTTGTACTGGCTACTACTGCAAAATGAAATGTTATTTTCCGCAACGAGTTAAATTTCGACATGATAGTACCGAAGAGACCAAAGAAGTACCAGATTACTCGAAACTAAAAATCTTTGTACGAATCGTTTGTCTATCATATCAGTGAATTGATAAAGAAAACAATTGCGAATTCCGTGATATAGGCCAAAGTAGTATGACCTCTATGCCCATATGACGAAAACAAGAAATCCCGTAATAGCACGTTTTAGCGCCGGCATTTTCTGATATTAGGTGCCGTATTAGAAAAATCTCAATACCTAGGACAGCAAGTCGAAAGCTTGAAGAAAACTCCTTCGTTTGACATGGTTAACTATAAGTCTTGTGTTGGCACATTTCCGCGCTTTGTGTGACTATCTTTAACATGTCTTTTTCCAGATTCTGAACACGAAGCATCATTTTCTTATAAAATTTGAAAAACAACCACGTTTACGTCGTGCTTAACTACAAAATGTTATTTATTTCAATATTTCAATGGATTGTGTCCTCACCTCATCCTCGGTTACTGCCTTCTTTTATATCTATTTGCATTTTATATCATCTTATGTAATCGGTAATAATCATCTGTCTCTTAATATTCTTTTACATTTTTCATCGATATTATAAACTGAAATTAATGTATGCATGATAAACAATTTAATATTGTTCATTTGTATTAGATGATAATAATATTTTTATTTTATTACATTGAATTAATGGTGCCCTTTTTTTTTCTTTTTTTTTTACTAATGTAGATAACGTTTGTTATGCATGTATATCACATCACAGATATGTTGACTTTCGTATTAAAAAATGTATAAACTATAACATAAATAACTACGTTTCGAAGAGCATTTTCTTAAGGTTATCACGCTAATAAAGTAATTTATAAACCTATAACGGTAAATCTCTTTGATCTTTGGGGTATATTCTATGCCCGGAATAACCTGCTGTCTGAATATATAGAGAGGTATTTGGGGTTATTCTTCTAAAAAAATTTCTTTAAACCTGTACCGGGTAATTCTTCCAGGGTAGGTTTTTTCCATAAGAAAACATGATATAAGGTTTTTCTTATGGGAATTCTGGGATATTCTGATTTTACGTACATCTAAACATAAACATAGACGGTTTATAAGCAAGATAAAGTCATCGATTTCGGTTATGCGGGGGAAGAAAGACTTCAGAAAAAAACCTCGAAGAAAAACTTCGGCCTGCCGGCCTCGGTTTTCTTTTTCTCGGGTTATTTTCTTCAGTCTTTCTGACCCAGGCATAACCTCAGTCTCGTGCTTTATCCTACACATAATGTGGGGCAAATATATACAGAAGAGCTACAATACATCATGAAACCATACGTGACAATATGATCAAAGCGCATGGACTCTAGAAGGTGATAATCTACAGCTAGCCTGGAGATCAGGTGTTCGATCCCTGCATTGGCCGAGAAAGTTCATCCAGATTTTCCGGCGTGTTTCCACCCTTGTCAGTGAAGCAGAACGGGGGGGGGGGGGTCTGACAAGGGCAACTGTCTAGTCGTTCGGATGGGACGAGAAACCGAGGTCCCGTGTACACATTGACGTGCACATAAAAGATCCCTTGACAGTTGGAATTCGATATAAGAGTAGGCCGTAGTGCCGCTGTCTGGCCAAAATTTCGCTCATAGCACACAGAATTGCCTGTGCCCGTCTTCATTAATCCAGTTCGGAGCAGAACAGTAGGACGCTAAACCCCATCTCATTTCATTATATTTGATAATCTACAAAAACTAACTACATGTAATTAACTAGGGATTCAAGAGTTCCTCATAGCAAGGCAACTCTCTTCCCCATTACTCGCATGGTCGCTCCCTCACATGGCCGTTATAGCCTACCATGGATCACCAGCCGACAGTCATAAGAACTATCACCTATTTTAACATACAGATTGTCCACGTTTCCATATGGTGGCTGATAGTGGCCATGTTATATCTCGCCCTTTTCATAACGCGACAACACGACATCACGACAGTATTGACGCAATCATACGACACTTAACTCTGTCGTATCATCGTGTTATTTTTATCGTAACGTCGAGATGTCGACTTATTGGTATAGTCTCTTTCTACAAGTCACAAAAATACAGCTGTACTCGTTACAACAGATTAGATACATATAAATAAGACTTGTCAGAAGAGATAATAGGAAAACGTTGATTAATTATTCGTTTTCTAAAAAAAATGAAACATTTTGCGCCCAAAATTGAATTATATTTGGTATTATATTTAAAAAATCTAGAATTATAATAGCAGGACAAAAGTGAGTCAGCTATGTTAATTCCTTGAATAAGAAGTGGTGTCGGTAGGTATCGAACAAGCATGCATTGCCTCGTGTACGACAACCACCAATACTTATAGATTACCGAAGCGATAGTTTAGAAGCGATTTCAGAAGATTTCCAATTTATTTTATTAGAGTGGGAAGGGGATTATATAAAACCTCAAATCAGACCACATAAAATCACCGCATTGGTGTAGCACGCGATCCCAATAAGTGCAGGGTTTTTTTTTATGAGGTGAAGAAAGCGATTTGCAGCTGTAATTGTATGGAAGTATGGAAGCGTGTTGGGTCACTACTTATTGAAATAATATCGCAACACATCGAACTAAAATATGTCAACTTCATGAGTTATATTACAAAAAATCGACTTAATAAGTCGACTCGGCGCATTAAATTCACCTCTTAACGACAAAAACTATGTCGATATGTTTACATCATGCCAATAATCGATTTGACTCTAAATCAACAAGTCATATTTTAATGCAATATATAGACTTAATAATGTCGCCGTTTTCAGTTATGTACCAGGTGCTTAATTTCATTGCCCGAGATTGCTTATTCATGAAAGTGCAGCCAATGATGGGGTTTAACGTCCACTCGACACAAACTAGGTCATTTCGGGACACCTAAAGACCCCTAAAATTAAACCATATGTTAGTTCCGAAATGACCTAGTTTATAGACATAATAATGTCGCCGTTTTCAATTATGTACCACGTGCTTAATTTCCTGGCCCGAGATTGCTTATTCATGAAAGTGCAGCCAATGATGGGGTTTAACGTCCACTCGACACAAACTAGGTCATTTCGGGACCCCTAAAGACCCCTAAAATTAAACCATATGTTAGTTCCGAAATGACCTAGTTTGTGTCGAGTGGACGTTAAACCCCATCATTGGCTGCACTTTCATGAATAAGCAATCTCGGGCAATGAAATTAAGCACGTGGTACATAACTGAAAACGGCGACATTATTAAGTCTTTATATTGCATTAAAATATGACTTGTTGATTTAGAGTCAAATCGACTATTGGCATGATGTAAACATATCGATATAGCTTTTGTCGACAAGAGTGGTGAATTTAATGCGCCAAGTCGACTTTATTAAGTCGATATGTTGTAATATAACTCATGAAGTTGACATATTTTAGTTCGATGTGTTGCGATATTATCTCAATAAGTAGTGACCCAAATACGCTTCCATACAAATACGCTTCCATAAAATGATAGGTCGCTAATAGCGCGGTTTTAATTTCCTATTTTCTACTTTTGGCGCCTTCTTACTGACATTAATAAATACAAAAATATGTCTAAGTCGAAAGTCGACAAGACGGTATACAAGCCAAAATGCAAGTCGAAAATTAGAAATTAGGAAAAAACGAGGGGTGCTATAAATTATTTCTTAATTTCCTATTTTCGAGTTGATTTTGGCTTGTATAGAGTGTTGTCGCCTCACATTTTGTCGTAACTTCTACCTTTCGACTTTTCGACTTTCGCGTTCTGAAGAGGCGAAAAGTAGAAATTATGAATGGTAGTTATAGGCTTCCATACCATTTAGAGTTAGTCGGGTTTCCAAAATTGCCATCATTTTGGAAAACGTTATCATAAGTTTCCTGGACATTATCATTAGTACCGGTAACGATATTATTATCATTATTAATACCTGTAACGATATTATCGACAAATTGCAGATCGTAAACAATTAGCAAGTGCTAATAAAATAAAATATATACCGAAGCGACAGTCGTGTTCTCAAGGAGTGGGTATGCAGTATGCACGTTCAGTATAGACCTATCTGTTCTTCTTTAAAGGGGGGTTGGATGGCCGAATGGTTAGCACGCGCGCGATGTATCATACGGTCTGTCATTGAGTCAACTGGCGGGGTTTCGATTCCCCGGTTGTACGTGACAAGGAGTAGGGTTGCCTGTCCAACCTAGTGGGTTTTCTCCGGGTCCTCCGGTTTCCTCCCACAGCTAAAGACCCCTACGCGCAAGCGAATTATGGGAATAAAATTGAACCATATGTTAGTCCCGAAATGACCTAGTTTGTGTCGAGTGGACGTTAAACCCCATCTCTCCCTCTCTCTCTCTCATCTTTAAAGTTAAATTGTTAATCTGGTCATACGAGAGTTATGTCCAACGGGCATATAGTTAGAGTTTTTCACAGACTCATGATTCATCTCTAATAACAAATATTCGAATAAAACATTTCAGTTACAGGCGCGTTGTTGCATAGCACGAAGCAAACATTCGTAAAACATAGGCAATCACGTGACATAATTCATTCACTATTTATTTATCAATGAAACCCTTAAAATAATTCTCAAATGTAGCTTGTTTATTGTAAAATTCTTTTCTAACGGGTCGTTGACCGCCATAATATAGTGGAATATAATACATAGTAGACTTAAATTATGTTTGCCAAAATACTTGTACACTACTCGTACAGCATACGTAATTGCCCCCACCCCGAAAAAACAACAACACATAATCCGTTTTCGTATATTTATCATTTAATTATGATATAATTTAAAGTTACAATTTCATATTTTTAAGTTATATTTTTAAAATGTATTAAAATAAAGCCCAAAAATTGATGGTATCTATAAACAGTCCTACCTTGTTAAACAATATTCCTATTAATCCTATAATCCACTAGTGCCGGTTGACAAACTGGCAAAATATAATTTTCAACTTCAAATTCAAACGTTTGAAGATAGCTATTCCATGGTGGGGAATAGGAAAACAAGGGGGGTAATTGGGAGGTAATTGTGTTATTTCCGGTGTGAAGATTTTTAAGTGTGAGAAAGATAACCTATGATCGTATAATAGTGAGTTGACAACCTATTGAGCAAAAGACAGAAATAATTATGTTTTGACTTTCTTAGAAAATATGAAATTGTAACTCTAAAGAAGTTAACAACGCTATCCTGTGCTGTGACTCTCTCAAACTGCCACTCTAATCATTTTAGCTGTGTTTTTTTTCTCTGTCTACCTGAAATAAATGAGAGTGAGATAGAGAGAAATGGGGTTTAACGTCAACTCGACACAAACTAGGTCATTTCGGGACTAACATATGGTTTAATTTTATTTCTATAATTCGTTTGCGCGTAGGGGTCTTTAGCAGTGGGAGGAAACCGGAGGACCCGGAGAAAACCCACGAGGTTGGGCAGGCGACCCTACTCCTTGTCACGTACAACCGGGGATTCGAAACCACGCCAGTCGACTCAATAACAGACTTTATGATAAATGGATATGATGATATTTACCTACACATTACAATAAGAGGTGTCATGTTCCTAAGCCCAATTAAATCAAATTGTCTCAGTGGAAAATGATAATCGCCGAATTCAGTTTAGACCTTCTACCTAATTAATCAGCAGGGTTGTTGCGTTCCAGAAGGTGTGAAGAGTTGACTAATGAACACATTTTAATAGTCCATGGATTTCCTTCTAAAATCGGAGACCATAAGAAAAAATATAAAGTAGCAAGAAGTCTGAATTAATAGAATGTTAATAATAATAAAATAATAATAATAATAATAATAAGGAAACGGAAGTACACACAGACAGACCACGACATTATCCAAGTAAAATTACTGTATCTCAAAAACAACCTGGGATAACTCGTGTTTTGCGACACTTCCCGATTCTTCAAATCTTTGTTTCGGGTCAACCGTAGTAAATACCTATATGTTAAAATTATATATGCATGTTCTGTCACACATGTAACATTAAAGCTTTCCTGAAACATTATAACCTTATGAACCTAGTGGTATCACTTCCTCGAGAAAGAGTAAGTGTAAACTGTGCCCTGTATGACAAAATCCATATACTTTAGCTATCATGTATACGCTCGACGGAGCCTAAAATATGCCGAAGTACGAAAATAATGATGAACTCAGATTGAGATGTGTCCAGAATTCATACCAACCTGTATGTAAATATGATGGACCAGGTTTAATTCGGGGACCAACATTTTTAAAAGCAATTGGTGTTGGAAAATCATTACTTTTCGCCCATTCGTTTGCAGCACCCTGTAGATCAAAATTAAGGTTCTCTGGCGATACGAATTCGTTCTGCAACCACGCCTGAAAGTATATTATATATAGTCCTACCAGAATATGTCCATAATCTTATTGTCATGGTTTTATTAAATTACTTTTACACATTGCCATTACCAGATACAGATATATTCATATCTATAATATAAATCAGCCTTTTTTGACAGAGAGAGAGAGAGAAATGGGGTTTAACGTCCACTTGACACAAACTAGGTCATTTCGGGACTAATATACGGTTTATTTTTTATTTATTTCAATAATTCGCTAGCGCGTAGGGGTCTTTAGCAGTGGGAGGAAACCGGAGGACCCGGAAAAAACCCACGAGGTTGGACAGGCGACCCTACTCCCTTGTCACGTACAACCGGGGATTCGAAACCACGCCAGTTGACTCAATGACAGGCTTTATGATACAGCACACACGTGCTAACCATTCGGCCATCCAACCCCCCACTTTTTTGACAGACACGAAATTATTCTTACTGTTTAAAAGGTAATGTGTAATTTATTATGAATCCCTTATTTATATAACACAAGCTGAACTAAACCAAAAGAATTAAAGATGCATTTTCCCAGCTCTTTAGGTCACTCGGGGTTACAGGTAGGGACCCCCCCCCCTCCCAAATGTTGGGACGAAAAACAGAGGTCCCGTGTACACATAGGCGTGCACGTAAAAGATCCCTTGACAGTTGGAATAAAGTTTTGCTTTAAGAAATATTGTAACACATATCCAAACTATCAACCGGGAAAAATATTTGTGTTAACGATATATTACATCTTTCTACATGGCGCTAACTTAACGCGTGCGCAATGCACCTGTTTAGACTGTAAAGTCAGGTTCAGTAGCCACGGAAGAAGTCTTCCTCTTTTGTGTTTTGACTCTGTGAGAAACATCTGAATTCTCATCAAGAGAAGAGTCGCCACTTATAGACATGACAGCTAAATTAAAGTTACAATTTCATATTTTTAAGTTATATTTTTAAAATTTATTAAAATAAAGCCTTAAAATAGATGGTATCCATAAACAGTCCTACCTTGTTAAAGAATAATCCTATTAATCCTATAATTCACTATTGCCAGCTGAGAAATTGGCAAAAATATCATTTTTAGCTTCAAATTCAAACGTTTGAACATAGCTATTCCATGGAGGTAATAGGAAAACAAGGGAGGTAATTGTGTTATTATTTCCTGTGTCAATGATTTTTAAGGGTGGGAAGTAATTCCCACGATGGTATAATAGTGAGTTGATAACCTATTGAGCAAAAGACATAGAATAATTATGTTTTGACTTTCTTAGAAAATATGAAATTATCGCTTTAAGACGAAGACTTTTGACTGGCCTGACTATTGTTGGGTGTTCCGTCAATAGGGGGCCGCCGCCCCTCTCGTAATAAAAACACGTGTTATACACTATCTAAGGTTAAAACTCTGCCTTTACAGGGGAGTAAACCAGCTTAATTATAAATGATAATTATTTGAAAATTCGGGTCTTTACTTTTGCCCCTAAGAAAGTTAGCATACACTTCCTCATACACGATATTCAACAAGCTTACCATATAATTGTCAGCTACGTTAAAATATGAGTCATTTACAACAAAACTGCCATGATAGTTCATAAGTCGATCATCGTGGGCATAGTAAACATTTTTGTAGATTTCATTACCTGTTAAAAAGAAACACAATGCGTGAAATTATGGAGGATGTTGGATGAGAAAGTTCCTTAGGACTTTGCAGTGTCGTTTCCCATTGTCAGTGGTGAACGGTTGGGGCCTGGTGAGACACCGCGTAATGTCGTGCCCTTTGGACGAACAACCGGAGTTTTGCGTACATGTTGGCGAGTTCATAAAATGACCCATTACTTCCCCAGATTTTGCGTACATGTTGGCGCATTCCTAAAATGACCGTTACAATTGGAATTTGATCAAGAGTATTTGCAGAAACGCCGCTGTCCTGGCAACATTTCCCTCTCAGAGTCATACAACACTGCATGGCCTCACTCGGCAAACCTCGGCAGATTCCGTTACTCTACATCTAGCCTCGGCTGTATGAAGGTAAGTGATATGTACCTACGCCTATACAACTGGGATGCGGCACCGGTTTACTCATTAGGAAAACTTGTCGCTTTTAAAAAGAAGTTATCAAAATTGCGTCGTTCGATGCGTGTGTAGAATTTCAGTGCAAAGTTGTCCTTGGTTGAAGAAAATCGGATAACCTTCAAAGAAAAACAGCTTCAGACTTTGAAATATTTGTATGATAAAACATTCTTCAAAGACGTCGTCATGGGCAACGCCGTTGGTAATCCGGGAACTTGAAAGTAGTTCCAATAGCGGACTTCGTCATACAGCCGAGGCTAGATGTAGGGTACTGGAATCTGCTGAGGTTTGTCGAGTGTGCATGGCCTATGGCTATACCCGGTTTCATTATCACGGTTGATTCAAGCATGGAGGACGTAAAAACATTATGTTTTGCAGTATTACAGTTCTTCCCACCATAACGTTTGTGGTAAGACCAAGAGAATAGTCCGTCAAGATTTAGAACTTATCATTGTTACAAAATACATTCAATACCGTTTACGCAACATGACAATACTAGATACAGAACTCTTTCTAATTTAAACTCTTCGTGTATATACATCATTATGGGTTTCAAATCTTATAAAGGCATCAGGCATCACCGTCATTCGAGAATAAGATGGTTCTCTTATAAGATGATCCCGGGCTTACCTCTTGGTGCGCCCCTAACCTTGTCGTAGGCCATAGCCGCTAATTTAGGATATCTTGAAGACCATAATGCGTTAGTATATGGCACTTTCTGCAAAAATTAAATTTAAAAGATAACCACACAAAGCCTGGGAATACGCCCACACAGCAGTTTTATCTCAAAAATGCACAGCCATTGACACCAGGTTATCCGAAAGGAAAACATAGATGTTGACCAGATTTGATAAGGATACTGTATGCCTCCAAAATTGTAATCTCTGTCGTGTTCGCAAGCTTTTCTGGACGGAGACATAATATATCTCTGGAACAGAATGCTCAAAATCTGTAAGGTTCATCCTCATCGGGGGGTAACTCTGGAACGGGAGCTTGGAAAATAAATCTAGTTTATCCCCACATGACCCCAATGCTTTGCACGAAATTTGACAATAAAAACTGTAGCCTATATCGCGTGGGTGTACAAAATTTAAATCGATTCTACGCTTATGTGGTCCTACATTTAAATTGAAAATCAAAAATGTATCATTTACAGAGAAATATATTGTATATTGGCATGTTATAAGAAACATAAAAAAACCAAATATCAGACAAATATTATTTGGAATTTTATTTAAAGGTTAAATAACGCATACGACCTTTAATGATGCCTCTAGTTGGGGCAAATCAGCACCAGTTAAACCTCTGGCATCAACATCAATGGCTATCTCAGTTGCATTATAGAATATATTATACCGTATAATATTATCACGACCACCTCCTATATTAGCATGGACTTCATTCTGTAATATCGAAAAACATAAAAATACAAGTAGTACACAGTTTACTGGTCTGCCTCTATGTATCAGGGAACTCGGTTGTTCATGCCATCCGAACCCTGCAAGGCCCTCCGTCATTCCCCAATGACAGGGGGTGAGAGTGAGGGTGTCATGCCGACAAATCCCGACGATCTTTCTCGGCTAACACTAGGGCCGCCGGCCTTCCTGGTTAGCGAACTAACGTCATACTCGCTGAGCCACCGTGGCTCCCTCATTATTCTTAAACTTTATTATCGATCTGTCTTATATTCATTGGATGCATAGTTAATTTCCTAGCGAAAATGTTATTATTACTACATTATTGGATCAATAATATATATATATATATATATATATATTATATAAATTACGTTGAAAAAAGAAATAAACACATGTTTATGGCTAACGTTTTCAGTTCTCTTGAACCTCTTCAGGCCATATTGATATAATATAATGTAATATAAGACAATGACGTTACGTAAGAGCGTAGTTACGAAACAGGAAAAATATCAAATCAATTAAGTTATAGCAAAATATAATAAAATATAACATCTAACATTATTGATATTCATTTATCCAATTTTCCGATTTAAGGAGGGCATATATTTTTTAATGAAATTCATTTCTTTACATTCTAATAAATGACGATTTTTAGAATTTTCATTGTAAAGAGAGAAAACCTTGAATACGCCTCGTCCGCATTTATCCAAATGGGTACTGACTTCGATTGTTCTGTTTTCCGGGTCCCTGACTAAAAATAGTCATTTATTAGAATGTAAAGAAATTAATTTTATTAATATATATATAATATATATATATATATATATGTTGCACGTAACTCACATTAAGAAATACATTATTTTCTATGTTTACACTGGAAAACTCGTCGTCTAACATAACACCTCGTACTTGGGCACCTGGCCAGTTTCTGTGAGTATTTTGGAAATAGTTGTGACGTATATAATTTCCTCTCTGGAAAAATATATTAGGTATCAATTTAGGGTTAGCTTGTAAAGGCTTATATAGCACACGAAAATGAAATGAAATGGTATTTAACGCTTTACTTTTTCTAACATCTACTGGACATAAACTACGTTGTTGGTTATTTCGGGACTAACATATGGTTCAATTTTATTTCAATAATTCGCTTGCACGTATGGGTCTTTAGCAGCGGGAGGAAACTGCCAGTTGACTCACAATGACGACCTCATGACACAACGCGCACGCTCTAACAATTCGGCCATCCACCCCACCCCCACCCACCGAATCGGACAAAGAATAAATGTAACAGAAATTTTTATTTGATTACTTCAAGAATTTGAAGGCTGGTCGGGATAGTTTGAAGGTACTGTAAGAAAATGACCTGAAAACGTGAAATCTACAAAACCATTAGACTCACCATACTCCAATCGCGTCCACAGTGCACTGCACCACAATCACTAGAATTCTGACAACAGTCTTGAAAATGATTATATTCCATAACATGATCGTTACCCTGCAAAACATTTAAGTTAAGATTTATCTATTTGTTCACTATTAAAATTATTACTTTTAAAAAGATTGTATGGCTTAAAAGAAGAATTGTTAAAAGTGAAGTTATTTCACAATAGACAGTAGCCTTCGTGTATTTTATTATTCATATATTAGCCATTATATGTCTATTCTCCGATATTAAATAGATTAGAACAGTTCAGCCATATTTTGATTTAAGCTTATAATGGAGGAACGAAGCTTAGCTTCCAACAACCAGTACGGTGGTTGACATTATTGCACCCGACTTGTCAAACCTTCAAAGGCTAATATCTTCGCTCGCAATAGAGTAATTGGAATGAAATTTTCAAATTATTCATTTTACATTATCTATTTTCGAATTATTGTACCAAAAATGGTTAGTGCTTTATCTAAATCTTATATAATGTATCTTTAACCATTTACTTTTTAAAACGGTAATATGAATGGGTGGCACCTGTGATTTATTCTGAAAGTTGATTGGAACTGGCCTTATCAATAAATGTCCGGGCAAATTTCTCGCAAATGCCCGTCTTCATTAGCCCAGTAGAAAAGTAGGACGGTCAACCCCATTTGCATTGAAGAACCGAGTCACACAATACTCACTGCCCAGGTTATACAGGAATAGGTTCCATGGTGAATATAATTATTTCTTATTACATTATGAACACCAGCGTGACTGATACCATCAGCACCGACAGCGGCTACTCTGCCAACTCTAGATATATGATTATCTTCTATTGTTATACCTGACGGTATTAGGTTAATCCTGTCACCACCTGTATAATACAGTGTAAACATTACAGTATATTACGATTATGTCATTAACAGGGCCTTTTCTGACTTCAAATGTTTTATAATTCATTATTTAGGCATTTATTCGCGTGATAAGCCCATGACCAACTCTCTAGTCCACCAGATAACTTAAATATTTAATGGTTTAGAACACTTGCGCCATTTAATACTTTAACGTTCAGCCGGGGTGGGGATAAAATTGGCGGGGAAATGAGTTCACGTTGATTTAAATGATGATTTTCTAAGAGCTTGATGAAACATCTCTAAATATGTTTATATGATTCCTATTATATGGGGGTGACGCCGGGGTGAGTGCCCGCCGTGGGGGGGGGGAGAGGGGGGGGGGCGGTGCGGGTGATGGCGGGTGGCAACATGTGTTTTTGTGGACAGAACTCATTTTGTTCATAACTGAGTTTAAAGTGGTATCTCGTTAGCGTTTTCGTTCAAAATATTAAATTATAATGGTACTTTTCAAGAGATCTGGAAATGTAAATCAAAAACACATTAACTCAGAGATATGTTTGGTTGTTAGTTTATTCTTAGTCTTCATCAGAAAATTCAAAATCAAAAGTTCATATGAGCGAGACAAATATTTTCTTGATTGCTGGCCAACAGCTCGCATATCCTTTGGATATGCTTCAGGAACCAATTCACATTGTAAATCTTCATTCCAGTCATGCAGCAAAAGACCACGTATACGGCAAGGTGGTAATAAAGAAAGGTCTGTTATTTTTTCACCCAGAAAATCTTTTTCTAGCGTCATCTAGTGATGTAAGTCGTCTTTCCCGATATTTTTCTACCTTTGCCCGTCCCATTATCGATCAAAATTTGTATATTTGGATCATCGTTTGCGAAGAGAATGATTGGGATGTCTATTTTGCCCGAGCAAGAATGCAAAATACAATTTTTTTCAGCACCTCCATTAATTTGCAATGCGAAGAGGAGTAGGTAAGATATTTTGGTATCAGTTCTAGGATATTCCCGACACTTTCAATACTAATCTTGATATTTTTTGATCCAATCAAGATTAGTATTGAAAATTTCGAGAATATCTCGGCCTACGGTACATGCTTTCAGTGGTAATGACTATCTGTCTTTCTTTTTCAAGATAATCCCAACTTTCTAACAATTTTTAAAGGGCTGGGATAGACAAATGATGCTTCTGATGACGTAATTGCTAGTTTAGAAAAAATTGTTTGTAGATGACACTAGAAGAAAGATCTTCTGGAGAAATTTTAATTGTGATGAAAAAAAACAAAACTTTCTTTCTTTATTACCATCTTGCCCGAGTAGTTTTTTGCTGCACATTAAACGCAATAATTATGTTGCAGTAATATGGAGACAGGTTGCAAAATTAATGATCGAACAAGATGAATGGGTATCTGAAGCATATCCAAAGCATATACGCAGGCTGTTGATCAGCCATCAAGAGGATATCTATCCCGCACATATTATAAGAATAAACTAATATCTAAACATGTGTTTTTTATGTAAATTTCCAGATCTTTCGAAAAGTACCATTATAATTTAATATTTTTAATGACGATATTGGCACTGAACGAAAACTCGAGAAAACACTTATCAGGTCAATTTTGAACCAAGTGGTTTCTGTCCCCCAAAATACATTTACCCTCCCCTATACAACGGTAATCGTATACACATATTTAGAGATGTGCAGTGGAATTAAAAATAATGTTTTTACCAAGCTCTAAGAAAATCATCAACGTGAACTCACTTCCCGCCAATTGTACCCCCCCCCCCCCGCACACAAATCAAAATAGCTGTCCAGGGGCATCATAAACACTTATTTAAAAATGGGCAGCCCTAGAAATTTATGTTTTATTAATATATTATGTCAACATAATGACCCCCCCCCCCCCCCACACACACACACACCACCACCACCACCACCACACACACCTACCTGCTGTATACACCCCACCTCCCCACAAATCAAAACAGTTGTCCAGAAGCATCATAAACACTTATTTATAGATGGGCAGGCTTAGAAATTTATGTTTTATTAATATATTACGTCAACATAATTACCTCCCCCCCCCCCCCCATTGTAGACATTTGACCCCCTGATCCCCACCCAGATTCGGAATCTACGCAAAAACTGGTCTAGAAAAACTTGGTCTCATAAATTCACAGCTCGGGTGGCGATCCCCCCCCCCCCCCTTCAGCCACCGGACTAACAGTTATAAAGAGATATAGCAAGTACTTGTATACAGAGATATAAGCGGGTACTTTTATACAAAGCGGGGTCACGGTGGCCAAGTGGGTAAGACGCTGGTGGAGGTCGGGTGTTCGATCCCTGCATTGTCCGAGAAAGTTCATCCAGATTTTCCGGCGTGGTTCTCCCTTGTCAGTGATGCAGGACAGAGGGCCAGACAAGTACATCTGTCTAGTCGTTCGGTAAGAGTAGGCCGTAGTGCCGCTGTCCGGGAAAAATTTTCCTCATAGCACACTGTATGGCCTATTCCCGTCTTCATTAGCCCATTTCGGAGCAGAACAGTAGGATGTTAAACCCCATTTCATTTCGTTTTATACAAACCTATAACAAGGAGGGGGGGGGGGGCGTCACGTGGCTACGTGGGTAGGACGCTGGCTCGCTAGCCTGGAGGTCGGGTGTTCGATCCCTGCACTGGCCGAGGAAGTTCATCTAGATTTTCCGGCGTGGTATCCCCTTGTCAGTGATGCAGGACTGAGGGCCTGACAAGGACAGCTGTCTAGTCGTTCGGATGGAACGAAAAACCAAGGTCCCGTGTACACATTGGGGTGCACGTAAAAGATCCCATCGCAGTTGGAATTCGATGTAAGAGTAGGCCGTAGTAGCGTTGCCCGGGTAAAATTTCCCTCATAGCACACTGTATGGCGTATGCCCGTCTTCATTAGCCCAGTTCGGAGCAGAACAGTGGGACGTTAAACCCCATTTCATTTTATTTCATTTATAACGGGGGCCTTCATGTAGAGATATAACAGGTACTTTCACAAAGGATATCTCTTTATAGCAGGTACCTCATGATGACATATAGTAGGCACTCTCATACAGATACATAGCATGTACTTTTATAAAGAAATGTAGCAGGTACCAGATTTCACATCGTGCGTACACAATGATATGATAAACTACTAATTCCAACTTTTCAAAACACCCTCAAACCCTGTATTGTTTCAACGATACACTAATACGGACATGGGTTTGTTCTAATGGGCAACATTCTAGGCTAGTGAATAGTCAAACGTCAAAATCTTCGACCTATAAACGATTTGCAAGGCTTCGGCGACTAGGTCAATTAATCCACAAATACAAATAAATGTTGTGCGACCCTGAATTTTGAGCTAACGGACTTTCAGGAGCGGCGACAATATACTCCCACACGAAACGTAGACTAGTATTAAAACGGTTACAATGTAAACTATATACGTTGTAATTAACATCAAATAAAGTGTAGCAATGAAAGGAAGTATCCATGCTCTTGATAACAATATTTTTGTGATAGTGTCATTCATTCATTAATTTATTACCTTCGACATTAATTCCTCCATCAGTATCGTGTATTTCGCATCCTGATACAGTTACATTTCTACTATCTCCAGCAGAACGAATTCCAAATGATCCTGCAACATAATTAAACATACATTATGCAAAAGCTAAATCTGCCTATTGCAGGTCTTTCTTTAGGCCTGAAATGTTATCTAAATTATTAATTAGACATTATTTAACTTTTCCGGACCATAATCAACTCTTGATGTCATCGCTAGCCTGCGATGCTTATTGGATTATTCATAATATAATCATGAAATTGATAATAGAGACTATGTTTTTTAGGCCGAAAATTCAATCGCTAAGATCTCGGTTCAGAGTGGATCAATTTGACTGAAATTCTCAGCAAATTCCCTTTACATTATCTAATCTCTCATAATGTATCTTAAACCCTTTAGTATATTGTTTTGTTAGGATATACTTATATAACACATCTTTCAACCCCAAGAAATGTTCAGATGTGCTTTGCACTATAAAATACGAAACAAAAGGAAACAAGCCAACAGTGAGATTGATGTCCCCCACCGATATCCCAGAATAAATAGATGATACATACCAATTAATTTCACATTTATCTATTTAAGAAGTATCGAGCAATCAAACTGATTATCTAATCTTAGTCTAAGCAGAAAATCTTCACGTTCGAATTGAGTCCAGGTTCATCACTCTCCAGCAGTTAGAAACAAAGTTATCTTGTTCAAAAGCTTAGTCAAGGTCTTAGTATAATGAATTGATCACCCTCATCCAATTAGAACCAAAGTATCAACCAATCTAATAAGTTGAAAATGCGCATGATTGAACTCTGTCACACTATTCACCTAATAAACACCTACACAAAGTTTGAACATTCTACCTCCATCAGAAGGAGAGTTCTTATGTTCCAATGTCTCGAACAATCAAATTGAAGTATATACTTAGTCTAAGCAGAAAATGCACAGCATCCAATTTAGTCAAGGTACTGATATAAAGAAACTATACACAAAGTTTCTCCAATCTCAGTCAATTAGAATCAGAGTTATGGAGCTCCAAAGTCTCGACCAATCAAATTGCTTATCGCTCCGCTTACCCTGAGCAGAAACTGCTCATTATCGAACTTATTCAAGGTATTGATGTAATGAAACTATACACCAAGTTTCATCACTCTTACTTAATTAAAACTAAAGTTATCGTGTCCGAAAGCATCAACCAATCAAATGGCTTATCTCGGTTTACCCTAAGCCGAAAATGTTCATCTTTGAACTCCATTAAGTCCTTCACCTAATTAACACCTACACCAAGTTTGAACATTCTAGCTCAATTAGGTGGAAAGTATGACGGACGGGTGGACCCATTATAATAGTTTTCTGCTTTCTTCGAAAGGCGGGAACAAAAAATATGTAAATATAACAATAATGATTATATAACATAAAATTAGGTTATAGCTTGAATGAATAGATGCTTCTTGACTTTTGACTTAACAAAAACAAAAAATGGTGTGACTTGTCTGACTAATATCAAGCGGGGTTTGTTCCGGAGACAAGGTTCATTCACCATATATTACATTCTACAATATACTATTGTTAGAACCCATTACGTCCAATTTCAACTATTCACTTGCGGATGCCGTCTTTAGTAATG